GGGGGGGGGGGTGTTTGGGGCAGCGGACACCATGGCAACAACAATAGCCACTCAAGAAAAGTCACAAGACTCCAGTTATACTTGGCCTGCACAACACAGCGTCCATCACCATATATACACACTCTAAATATATATATGAACATGTAAAAGTACTAACAGCTAGATAAATATAGGTCTGGACATGCTGAAGAGAATGACAGCAGTTGCGACAGAAGGAGTTGCCAGGACGATGAAAAGCAGAAAGTCTTGGATCATACCATGGTGTAGCAGAAGAAGGGATTAAAGGATGGAGGGGTGGAGAGATGGTGGAGGAGGTAGGGAGGCGGCGAGGTTACCGTCAGTGCGTACCATTGGCCTTACCACAGGGGGGTGAGAGGAAGAGGAGGAGGAGGAGGAGGAGGGCGAAGAGGAGGAGGACGAGGACGAGGAGGAGTCAGCTGGCTTTAAGGAAAGGCAACAAAGATCAGCACCAGAGCAGCGCCTTGGTGTGTGTGTGTGTGTGTGTGTGTGTGTGTGTGTGTGTGTGTGTGTGTGTGTGTGTGTGTGTGTGTGTGTGTGTACAGTATTTGTGTCTTTATGTGTTTTTATGTAAAAAGTAGTACATATTTTAAGCCAGCCCTAAAAATAACTCACAAACCGCAACGCTACTCTCTGAAGAATTAATTTTAGAAAACAATAGCAGAACACTAACACTTACATAAATGCTCTGTTGTGACATTGTGCCGCCTGTCTGGTGTCAGTTTAATTTAAAATAATTTGAACGCATTAATTAGTTTCTTCTATAAAAAAATAAACTTTAATCAAATGAAAAGCTCTTGGATACCTTCTCTGTCTCACATGGTGGAAAAGTGGACAAAATCATTTCATTTGGGCCAGGGAGAATTGTGTAAGATATTACTGCACATGGAGACTGGACCCATCCTGTGTGAGGCCGAATCACAACGATTGAAACATGTAGAAGGTAAGATATTGGGAAATTGCTGTCCAATGCCTTGAGGGCCAACATAATGAGTGATGGTCTGCGCCAGCCACAGAGGGTCAAAGAGCGTATTTTGTACGTGTCTATATGCTACATTGTCTTTATGATGCGTGGTGTGTGTGTGTGTGTGTGTGTGTGTGTGTGTGTGTGTGTGTGTGTGTGTGTGTGTGTGTGTGTGTGTGTGTGTGTGTGTGTGAGATAGAGGGCGCCTCTGTAGCTATCTGTTTTTCTTTGTGCCAGCTGAAGCTAAAGTACAGTAACAGTGAAAGCTTTAGCTCGACTAGGGCTACGTTCACCAAATGCATCTCGGCATTAATGGGCAATGCCTCCTTTGGATATGTGTTATTCAAGCTTTTCTTTGACCTGAGAGTAATCCACATCCACTTTAATCTACTTTCAGGTCATACAAATGCATTGGAATAACACAATAAAAAATGCTTTTGGAAGTTGGAGCCCACAGGTATTTAAATAACACTGAGAAGCACAAAGGTAACGCAATGCTTCCCTGCAGGGAGACACCCGCTGGTCATCTCTGGTGTGACGACATGTTACACCACCGGGAGTGATAGATTAACTCCACATTTAATCTATGACTCTTCACTCTGCTTTGGTGCTGGCCCTGTTAAAATGCCTTACCACAAAATGAAGCACTTGAAGACATTCTAACAGAGCCATACGTAATGATCGGACACATTAATGTAAATGAAATAAATTCCTATAATTTGCAAAATAACTATTTACCTGGACATGTATATCATAAGCACGTGTGTGTGTGTGTGTGTGTGTGTGTGTGTGTGTGTGTGTGTGTGTGTGTGTGTGTGTGTGTGAGTGAGGCATCAGGTTGTGAAGGGAAGGAAAAATGATGGATAAAAGATGACGAGGATGAGTGGGAAAGCTGGGAAGGATAGAAGGAGTGAGGAAGGAAGGGAGGGAGGGAAGATGGCACCTATTAAAACTATGTGCAGATTACCTTACAGCTCAAATATGTGGGAATGTGTGTTTGTGTGTTACTTCGAGGGCTAGCTTGGTCAATTAAAGCATATTAAAATCAGAAAAATGCTTCAATATGAAACTGAGGCTGTGAATGAGAATCATATTCAACTTTAATTCTCCCTTCTTTCAAAATGATTCTATTAACTTCAGTTTCATTATTCATCAGATTTAGAGCATTTCAACATGGTTTGTAAGTTTAACCAAACAAAACATTCGGTTTGTAAATCAATATAGAGAATTCCTTAAAGGCTGAACTACAGTGAGTTACTGTAGTTGCAGCTCATCTGATATATGAGCTCATTTTAAATTAGCATGAGCTGTTTCTCACATTACACGTCATGTTTTCAGCAAATGTCATCAGTTCAGTCAGTTCAATGGGCAACATGGGTTTCTTGAGAACTTTCTTTACAAGATTTGTGGTTAAGGTGAATTTGACCTGTCATGGGCTTAAACCATACTAACTACCTTATTTCACAATCCTTTTTTTTTAAATGCGTAGCACATAATAGGCTGTCCTCTTTGGATGAGTGGCAGCATGAGACCCATGTTACCCAGCTTGCATTTCAGGTGAGCAAGCAGCACCGCAAACCAATGAGAGAGAAGACAGAGAGAGACAGAGATAAACATCCATAACAGAAGAGTAAAGTGAACTGAAAAAGCTCAGAGAGAGAAGAAGAGAGATGGAGAGAAGAGGAGGCATTCCGAGTAGAGAAAAAGACAAGGAGGAGTAGATGCAGTTCATACTGGCATCCTCTGCAAGACACCGCTCGAAGCAAACCACTACAGATCTGTTCACACTACTTCTACTCATATCAAAAACAAAAAATGGAGAAAAAGAAACCAGATGAGATTTAAGAAGCACCCGCAGGTTGCTGGGGAGAATTAGAGACCCAGGATTTTAAAAGTATTCTGATTCGATGACCACAAAAAGCTAATCTAAGTCAGCAAGCACCCAGCAGAGCAGCGAAGGGGGTGCACTCATAAGAGAGATTTGAGCAATTTAATATTTACTAAAGGCAAAGTGAAAACATTTTAAAAGCTGGCCTGTTACTGCACCTCGCTGTGTACTTAAGGAAAAGCAATGACAGGGAGGAAGATGTTGGCAAGCTGCTGCTATTAGTTTGTAACCTCATTGCACATTAAAATTCACTTGTGCCTCGTGAAATGCAGTAACAGGCTAAAATCTAAAATGTCTCAGTGACAGGGTCCTAGTTCAGAAACAGACGAGACTTCTCACAGGGTTAAAGTGCGGAGGGTTTCTTAAAAAAACAAAAATAGAAAAAGGTAGCCTGAGTGTCATCACTCAAATTATTTTAAAAAACAACAGAGAAGAAAAAAAAAAGGACGTAGGGCCATGCCTTTAGGTTAGGGAAGGAGAGGAAAATAATGAAACATTCAGGAATAACAGCAAACCAATCAACAAAATCAAACCAAAGGCAAACTCCAAACCAAAGTGCAGCATCAGTGACTTGTATAGATGACAAAGATGTATATCTCTGGCCCATTGAACCTCAGTTAAATATACCTCATTATATATTATATATCTCAGTATGAAATAAATCAGGTTAATCCTTGTCAAAAGTTCCATTGGCAACTGACTCAAAATATTTGTTCACCCTCGGACAGTCTTTTGTTAAGTGTCTACGTATATATTTATACACTCCTCTTTCCCTTTATTAAAGCATTCTTGCTAAAAAAGATCTGATGCATACATTCAATGTGAAGCAACAACAGGATATAGAACATTTCAACTAGATTTCATCAATTTCATATGCGAATAAAAGATGAAATGTCCATTTAAAAAATACCCGGTGTGGCTTCCATGCAGCCTTGTCAGCCTCGCATGGGGACAAATGGAGTCCCTTTCCAAAGGCCTGATGAACAGCTGCCATGCTCACACACCCCTGGGATACAGTAGCCTTATTTGTATGCCTGCCCAGTTCTGTCTGAGGTGAATCACACCGCATTCCACCATGCGGGAACATACCGGTGTACACATGTGCATATCCTTTCTTTGCTTCATGTCCTCAAACCGGCAGTATGCTGAGGTTGTGAGAGTAAATCTAAACTTAATGTGCATCCACATGTATTCAAATGTTTCTATAATTGATGTGACGTAAGATGATGTAAATGTGTAGAAACAAGGTAAGGTGGTTTCTGTGTCTTCATTAGCTGAAACAAATGTAGTGTATATCAAAGTTAGACTCCCAGAGATCTCGACTTATTCAGCTTCACTGGCCCGTCTGATCGTAGTACAGAATCATTTTCCTCTCCGGCAAACTGCACACACAGCAGAGACTATCCATTGTTAATGCTGAATGAAGAGTTAATACACACTGCCTGTTCTCCTGCCATGGAGCACTTTGAATAACGCATGAATAAAACACCAATTATCCCTGAAGTGTAAATACGATAGACACTCAACATTTGACTTGTGTTTGGCATATTCATTCTTATTCAGCCCCACTGTTGACCATAGGGCCCCCACGTCGGTGCTAAATGAATTCATACATACATTTGCATACATTTCACAGGTCCTGAGCAAATCCATGTCTGGGCATTACTATTGTCGGATAAAATATAATACAAGATTCTCATTTGAATTTGATGTTTCTCTGGTGATTTATGAATTTAGAATGTTTCATGACCCTTGGGTCAAAACACTTGAGAATCTGTATTCAATATCTTTCCAGTAACGTTTGCTGCTTTGCAGAAATGCGCACCCTATCTGTAAACATGGTATACAGTAGCAGGCCTGGATATAGCACCTTCACATCTGCCATGCTATACAGTGTCCATCATGCCAGGGGAATGGACACTATCCCCTGTGGCGATGTTAAAAGATCAACTCAATGTGAAACCGAACCAAGTGCTGAGACAATGCAACAGGTTCAAGTGGTAAATGCAATAGTTTTTGAAGCTATTGATGTTTATCAGACTGAGGCATGAATACCTTTCTGAAGCAGTTTCAAATGTTACATAATCTATACAAAACAGGACTTGAATTAAGAGAATTCAAATTGAATTGCAGCCCAATTATTCCACTCCTGAAGATGAATACGCAGAAAGGGGAACTCAGGAAAGCTGTTTTGAAGCCTCCAGTTGTTATACAGAGTTAAAATAATAATGTTAGCATCCCAAAGGCCAACATATTAATGAATCAAACTGACCCATCTAAAAAGTATTAAGATGTAATGGGTCAAACATCTCTAAGAACTACTGTAGCAAGCCTTTCTTTTGTTTCAAATGACTACGACATCTGGACGTTTTCACTGCCAGAGTTATTCAGCCGTCTGTTAAGCTCAAATGTGATGCAGCTGAAGTTTCCTAATCATCTGAAAGCATGCGAGATGGGTATCAACACTCTGTCCGTGTGTGTGTGTGGGAATGGCAGAGCAGGCAGGCAGGAAGGGAGGGAGTTGGACTACTTACGTTAACCTCAGTGATCGCTATGTCAACAATGCTACCCACAACTATCAAGGCATCAAATGTGTTCCATGCATCAACAAAATAATGCTGCGTAGGGGTGGAGAGAACAGAAAAACAACAGAAGAAAAGGACAGAACATAAGACATTTAAAAAATGGAAAAAACAAAAATAAATGGAGAGAGGAGAAAAATAAGATAAAAAACATTATATACATGAGCATTGGAGTTTTTTTAGTAGGAGGAGAGAGGGAAAGAATCAACAAAATTCAACGGCAAAAAAAGAAAAGGAGGGGTCTTGAAAAGATGGACAGCAGAGGAAGAGCAGCGGAGATCGGTCATGCTTGTCCATGAGAGGAAAATGTCAACAACAAGAACAACAGTACAGAACAAATTCCAACAAAATCACAACCAAATAAAAGGCCCCTGTTGTTGTGGTTAAATGATGTGTAAGTGTGTGATTGGTCAGCGAGTTAGTTCAGTTAGTGAGGGAATCAAACCTGAGGATAAGTCACAGTCCAACAAAAAGTGGAGAAAAAAACCCGACAACACCTGAGATACTGTGAGGAAGCAGGACGCAAGACAGGAACCTTCTGTGCCCCAGCTAAACCCTGCCTCTATGTTTTAAGAAACCTATGAAGAAGCTTGGTCTCGCTCAGGAACCCTTTGTGGTCGGGGGTCCCCTGAGTAGCAGCGGCCATCTTGGAGTCAAGGATGAAGGGAGAGAAGTAGGAGAAGGAAGAAGAGAAAGAGGAGGCAGAGAGAGGAGAAGGAGAGATGAAGAGAAAGGACAACACAACACAGAAAGAGCCACAGAGGAGGAGTGTGGCGGGAAATGAAAGAAGAATCAAGAAGGCACAAGACAGAGAGAAAGAGGGAGCGACAAGGAGAGTGGGCATCGTACTTACGTTGATCTCACTGAGAATGACGTCTATTATGCTGCCAATTACGATGAGGAAATCAAACACATTCCAGGGATCACTAAAGTACCCCTACACAGGATGAGGTGAGCAGGAGGAGGAGATGGAGGAGGAGGAGGAGGAGGAGGAGGGTAAGAAAGGTAGGTTAGAAGGAAAACAACATCTGCTGCCACTTCCCAGCCCTATTACGTCGGTATGAGGCTGTGCAGTACACTGAGGGGGAGAATCAGCTGATGAACCCACACATGAAAGGACACATTTGAATCCTAATCGACAGAATCAAACGGTTTCCTTTCCAGTATCTGTCCATCAGCTGGATTTCCTGCTCTGTTAAAGCGTGTTGGGTGGAAGTTATTCAAGTCTTCCACCTGCATCTTTAGCTGTTCTAGCAACGTGATTATACTGAAAGCCCACTTTGTTTGATTAACTTGTGGAGGCCGATTCATCACCAGTAGTGGTATTTATGAAAAACATCCCCATAGCTTCAGGCCAAAATTGTTTCACTTAGGGTGGTAACATACAAATATATTATATGTACTGTGGGGAGAGAGCTGTATCTTGGAAATAATGTTTTATTTTCTGGTGTAAACTTGAGGGGAGAGCCAAGATCTAACAAGGGTCATTGTGAGACTGGACTGGCATGTCCATACTGTAAAGCAAGTTACTTTTCAGACTGTGTGTTCTCCCATAGCACCATTTGTATTGGTATTACTGTGGACTAGGAAGGCGTGTGTTGCAACCATTTTGTGCCAATCTTTTGCAACAAGATAAGATGAAATATGTAAGCATTTGTGTGTCTAAAGATGGCTGGAACTTCGGACAGGTGGACAAGAAGGACCAATGTCTGGATAATGAAATGTCCTATTTTTAGGAAGTGTTATTTTACTCTGACTGCAACGTTTTAAAAACATTAAGTTTGCACAAATGAATACAACTCATTTGTATGAATCAAACTGGTAAAGTGGCAAAAACTAAAGATGCTGAGAGAAAGTCAATCATAGTGAATCTACTTGAATCTGTCATCTTAAAAGGTTGTGTAAAAATAACAAGGCATCCTTGGACGCTATAGTGGTTTGATGAAGTTGTTTGAGGTGTGACAATATTAATGTAAAAGCAGGGTCAACCATTAATAGAGTTTAAGGTTAGAATCTAAATGCTATTGCATGTAGTGATTGCATTTATTTGCCATACTAACGTCCCCACACATCAGTAATAAAACAGGAAGTGGGGAGGAAAGCGAACACAGATCATTCAAAAATATGTTCAGAACTAAACAACACTGTTAAGATCAGAAATGAAAAGGCATTAGCACACATTTTTCACATTATAAAAGTCTCCCCAGCTGTTTCCACATGTCCTTTGACGACTGCAATACCTGCAAATAAAAGTGTTATTGGGTGGTCCGGCTGTGTGTGCCGGAAGAGTTTACTGAAGTTAAGACAATGAGACAAGTAATGTCCTTAAGGGTGGGTGTAAATGACCTTTAATATGTTTAACCTTTTGTAGAGGTGGTTATATTTGTGTGCCGATGTTTTCCTGTGGTAAAGTTTAAGTTTTGTACTTTTATTTTGAAGGGACTTTTGCCGGAAGTGAATAGAGAACGGAGGATTGTAAACACGTGTAATGACGGATGAATGACGGAGAAATTAACTTCAGTTAATTAGTTACGTTAGGTTTTTAGCACCTGGCTGATAGGGGCACAAGGTTTGTTATTACTTTAATTAATATGTGTATTGATATTATGTGATGTTATTTCATAGTTTTGCAGAGTTTTGAGTTCACGCTTTTGTATTAGCAAAACTGCTATATAAGGAATGGAGATGTTTTATCTGTGAGATGGTGGCTAATTATTGTGTTTTCTTTCTTTTCTTAGCTCTTACGTTGGTACTTGACAATTAATGTATACATGCAAGTGTGTACAATAAAAGGATACCATCAGTTTGAGAGTTAGACCATTATTCAGCTGGGGACGCTACAGTGGGTCCTTTTCAATACCAGGGCTCATTATGGCTTGGGAACATTTCCTCATGCGGCACTTCACTTTTTGACATAAATGAAATGCATGAAAGAGGGAAAATAGGTATCAGTTTTTGTATTTTCCACTAAAAACTGAATTGAGTAAGCCATAATTAGCGTTAACATGAACTTTTATTTCACACATAATGCAGCGCAGCATGAGGTCATTTCCCAAGCCTTAAAAGTTATCCTGCACATAATTGGTTATTCCAGCTGGAGCCGCCTGTGCATGAAAACACTGCAAGACATGCATGATTACATGCATGAAGTACATCCATAATCTTTTGATGTTATTATAAAAAGAAAATATTATTTGATTCATCTTAATAAATCTTGATAAAAGAACACATTTTGTCCAACATAATGTTGATTTAATAGCTGACGGGAAAAACGACAAATAATTTGGTTTTAATAAGTAGTGAGAAATCCAAGGGCTCCCAGATAATGAATTTGTTCATAAATGACATTCATTAATGCCAACAAATAACTTTGAGCAATTAACTTCACATAAATAATAAATACAAATTCGAATTAATTCAATAACTGCGTAGAAATAATGAATGAATGCATAAAACATGGAGTATTTGGAATGAAAAGTTCAGCATTTGGTTATAACGCACTGTTTATAATGAGCATAATGAGTCAAAGTGACACCGGCACCGTTGCCAATTATGTTGAAGGATAAGGTTAAAAAAGAAAAGAAAATTACTCTCAGCAGGCTGTTTAATTGAACTTCATATTTCACTGTCTCGTTCTATTAAAGCAGTCAGTGAGCTGAAGCACAGAGCCTTTATGTGTTTATGTCTGTTTGGCTTATCATTATCTGTAAAAAGTCAAGCAATAACTGGAACGTTTCTTACACTCATCTTTTGATTAGCATTATGTACTGTGCAACAGTAGAGAGCAGGGTGAAAATATGATATGAAACAGTTTTGTCTATTGATTCAGTTCAAGGATGTTCCACGGACCCTGCAGTAATAGGATGAGGCTTTCCCATCTGTTACTGTTTAAATAGCTGATGCACCAGAACGTTCTAACATTGGACCAATAAACCCACACAGCTTCATAGCAACAACAGCAGGAAAACAAGGGAGCAGTGAGATTAAAAGCCACGTGACGCCGTCCACTAATCATGTTTTAGATCCATGACACGGTAATCATCGTCTGGAGGAAATTACATGCGGATTAGGAACATACAGCTCAACATCAGTGAGCAGTTATTTCTAATGCAAAACCTCAAATGTACAGCATTAGACTATTTTATTATATCAATAGGTTGTCATGATTAGTAGTACAACTTTGTTTGATTAACATACTAAATGCAGCAGATACTTTTTATTTCTCTACTTTACTGCATCTACTTTTGTATGCCATAGCTAGAGAGGTGGACTTACCCTGGGTTTGAAGGCGATCAGTTTTAGGATCATCTCCACAGTGAAGAGTCCAGTGAAGAGCATGTTGAGGATGTTCATGGCATCATTGAAGCCTTTTGTCTGTCCATGATGCTGCAAAGACACATAAATGACTCGTTAAAAAGAAAGGGGGGTTTGTGTGTGTGTGTGTGTGTGTGTGTGTGTGTGTGTGTGTGTGTGTGTGTGTGTGTGTGTGTGTGTGTGTGTGTGTGTGTGTGTGTGTGTGTGTGTGTGTGTGTGAGAGAGAGAGACTCACCTGCATGGCCAGACAGATGGTGTTGAGAAGGATGAGTGTGAACATGAGGTACTCAAAGTAGGTGGAGTTGACCACATACCACACCTTATACTGGTAGGGGTTCTTGGGGATGTAGCGCCGCAATGGACGTGCCTTCAAAGCGTACTCCACACACTGACGCTGTGACACACACACAAACACGTGAGCATACAGAAACATTTCGCCTGTTTCTCATCACTCCCCCTCTCTGTGCTCAGACCACCCTGGAGGAAGAGCTGCAGAATTGTCTGAAAAAGCTCTTTCCAGCCCAGACTTCTGTTCCCTGCTCTGTGTGAATGTCCATGTTCTTGAATCATCACAGGAAACCCAGCTGCAGGGACTTGGCCTGGCTCCTTCATTAAGCTTTAGTCTCATCTTCTTTCTGAGCTGCTGTACTTCCCTCCTGGAGTGGTTCAGCCCCTAAAACTCAGGTTCAGCTTCCCATGTCTCCCCCCCACTGCAGGGCATGCATTCACTCTCCTTTGTGCCTTGTGAATTGCAAAATGACTTTCCCATTTCAGCCCAAATAGTCACTCTCCTTCTACTTCAACCTTAAAACACACATCTATCTTGCAGTAAACAGAAAAGACTGACAGAGACGGTACCTGGTTCTTGTCCAGCTCACAGTTCTTATACTCTTGCTCTCCTTGCTCCTGGAATGTGACAATGACGAAACCGACGAAGATGTTCATCATGAAGAAGGCGATGATGATGATGTAGATGATGAAGAAGATGGAGATGACCACGCGGTAGTTGTAGATAGGCCCAACGTCCTCGGTGTGAGAGTCTATGGCTCGGTACAATAACCTGAGGGAGGGCAGGGAAGGAGGGACGAATCATTGAAGGAAAGGAGGAAGATGGAAAGGACTCCAGTGCACAGTTTTAATGAGTATAAAATACACTCTGCAGGAAACCCCAACATACTATATGTATCAAGCAACTGATATCTTCCTATCAGGACATACTACTCAGAGCTGTCAATCACTTCTGTTACCAATGCTAAAGGAGAAACGCTAAAGGCTATTAAAAGAGCTGCTGACCTGGTTATATCCTTCATTTAATTTATGACTGTACATATATGCACGCCTTGATGTATTGAAAGATGATTGGGAGAGGACTCAATGTCAACTTAGTTAAAAAAGACGAGATAAAAAAAAAAAAAGTATTGGTTATGAACTGTTATGCAAACATGTGTGTAATAGATGACCTTAGACTATTGCTAACCAGCATTATGTATGATTTTTGTGACATGGCAAGAGGGGGGGAGGGATGGGTGTCGTGGCCAAGGGACTCCCTATACATCTCCTTTTATCATTTATTCTCTTTCTTTTTGTATTATTGTACATAACTTGTATCTGTATATGTGTCCCTCTGTGAGTGCTACTAGAAAAGAATAGAAAGTTGGTCACAAAAATAAATAAATACACTGTGTAGAAACAGTATGCAGGTCAGGATATATATATATATATAAATGCATTTTTAGTTTTAAGACACGCACTCTGGCCAGCCCTCGAAGGTAGACACAGCAAACAGAGCCATCATGCCTTGCAGGACATTGTCGAAGTTGAAGTCGCTGTTCTCCCACAGTCTCAGGGCTCTTTCAGGCTTCCCCACATCACCGTCCTTATACATAATGTAGGAACCCCTGTGGACACAAGCAGACACGCACACACATATCCACATGTATTATCTAGTAGTTATTCTGTAAGGTAGAGTTCGAGCAGCTTGCGTGCAGGAGGGATCTCTCACCTGCACTCTGCATACGTTTGTTTGGAGCTGTCAGTACAGGTGAAGAACTTGCCCTGAGGGGAAAACATAGAGATGTAGTATTTAAATTAACCTGATTACGAAGCTTGTCCTTCTTCTTCTTTCCTTCCTTTCCACTTTACCTTAAAGAGTTGTACTCCAATGCAGGCAAACATGAACTGGAGCAGCGTTGTGACGATGACAATGTTGCCAATGGTCCGGATTGCCACAAACACGCACTGCACTACATGCTGTAAAACACACCCGTAATGATAGTGAAGTACAATAATGTGTATTTATTTGTTAAGAAGAGAGTATGTGTGTATTATGTGTTTTTGATGTACGTGTGAGTGTTTTAACCTTTAGTCCTTTGGCTCTGTTGATGGCCCTCAGTGGTCTGAGCACCCGCAGGACCCTCAGGATCTTCACCACGTTAATGGCACTGGACCTGAAACACACATGGGGTTAACTATGCTCCAGTTTAAATGATGAAACACACATTTTTACACACATGAAGACATATTTGCAAAAGAAGTTTTAAAAGCATTTTTTCAGCACACACTGAACTAAAGATCAATAAACACACAAGTTAAAGAAACCAAAATGATCAGATAAAAGTGAACTGAAACACAACGAGAAGTATGACACAAAACTATAATGATTGTCTTTAGAAACAGGTAAAGGTGGCCTTAAATTCTGCAGAGTCAGTAATAATATGTGTGTTTTTTAAACATTACCTTTACAGAATGTATGCTTAAAAAAGCAATGAAACATGTTTAAAATGACTTACAACAAAACGCTGAATAGTATCTCTGATTTCTATTAGGGCATTGGAAGCAGTGCACTTTATTTGATCTAGCGGAAATCAGGTGGCCAAATAACAATACTGGATTATAGTCAGGTTTAGTAAATTCTTAACTACTAATAAACGTATCATATATTGACTGACACTATGGGTTTGTACGTGTTGATGAATAAGGAAAATTACATAAAATGTGCACAATAGTAGGAACAATATAGAAAAAGTGTTTATGTATCAAACACACACATGTTTAACACAGATAAAGCAACACACAGACATGTACAGGCAAACAGAGTTATTGTGCTGTAAGAGAGTGTCAGTTAAAGCCCAATGCCAAACAGTGTGACCTTTCAAAGGAAGTGGAGTGAAGGAAAGGGTTTGAACTTTTAAACCAAAATAATTAAATGCATACATTGACATTTTGAATTTTACAATAGATATTTGGAAAAAGCTTGAGCATTGGTCCATTGTTCATCTGAACTAGGTCTTCATTATTACTATATGACGTCAACAGCTCTGAAACAAGCTAACAACCTTCAGGATGTTCAGTTCACCGATGAACAAAATGCAAAAACCTTTTCCCAAAGTGTCACAAAGGAAAAAGTGTATTAAAAATGTCAATTTATACTTTTAAGGGAGTGACATTTTAAGAGGGTTAAAGGAGTGGTATAAAGGGAGTGACATTATTCTCTGTATACTTTAAAATAAAAAAAGGAAAGACCTGTTGAACAGTTCACACAGGAAGGTAACGTTTAAAGGGAATCAAAGGGAGCTCATGTTGAGCAGGATTTCATCAGCAACATATCACAGTCAAACCAGCTGTGGAGATATCCTGTAGTGATAGTACAAACTTCAACTCAATTTCAAACATTTCTTTAGAATATAAAATGAATATAACTACTAATGAATGTTGTTCAATAATAGCCCTGAGCAAGTCCTACATCAGCAGAAACATGATGGCATTTTAATGATTTATTCACTCAAATAAAGGCTTGTTTCCTTCCTTGTGCAATTTAAAGTGCCTGGATCACATTTCTGTTTATCCTGAATATAGCTGTGCAAGCCACCTGATTTTTAAATAGTTTCCTAAGAAAGCAAACATGCAGTTTCCGTCCAGAGATAGGAAGTAAGGTGTTACATATCGGACACACTGTTCTTTCGTGTGAACTAATGTTGGACATATTACATGCTGTCCACACACAATATCATACAGAGCAGAAACACATCACGCTGTGGTTTTCTGCATTTTAACTAACAAAACCCTTGAAAAACTATTTGCGCAGATACTTAAATGGACATTTTAAAAAAAAAGGATACAGATATACAGTATATCCACAGGGGATACTTCCATATTGGGTTGAAATAAATGCACTGAGGCGGTAGTAGACACTACCAGCACCTTCACAATTAATCTGACTGTGATATACCCAGAAAAAATCCCACACACTCACGACTTTTAACAGGCAAAAACAACTGAGATTTGAGCATTATGGTGTCATTTCTACAGCCCAGGAGAGTTCCGTTTATCCAAATGTATGGTAACTGAGTTTGCGCTGCCCCAAAATATATGTGATAAATAATCATATTGACATTTATTGGACATGACAGCTGAGTACAATATAACAGGACCCAGGGGACCCAGAAAAGACAATCTTTGGCTCAAAACAAATGTTGCTGATAAGACCTGAAAGTGTGACGAAGCACAATCTTGTGTTTTTCCATTATCAATACAGTGTAACCCCAATAACCTACGCCTGATGATAACATCACAGATTGCACTCTGGAGTTTATTTTCTTGCTTTGACTAAACTCTCCAAGACCATAGAAATACCAAAAGCAAAAGAGTGACAGTTTTACACAGTTAAGGTGAAGGTCTGTTAAGGGGGTTATTAGTGCAGACTAATGTGGACTTACGTCGAGAAGTCATGTCTATTAAGCATTAGAGACAGAGAGTGTAGCATAGCATATTAAACATCAGAAATATCACAGCATTTCAAGAACAAGAAGCAGAGAACACATTTAGTAAACATCACAAAGAGAGAAAGGAATTGGGAGTAATGAAGTGTGAACTTGTTAGAGAACAGAGAGAAGTGTGAAGCATGGGGCAATTTACATTAGCACATTTTTGTTCCCACTTTACAGCTTGATTTGTGTCTTCTTGGAAAGGACTAGTGTCTCATGCACTTGTCATTATCTGGCTGACTGGTCCAGCTTTTGAACATGAAGCCACACAAATGGATGTGTGATGATATTGTAAACTTCCCTGATGATGTCGCTTGGAACTGCTGCCACATAATGTTAGATGTATCAGTGCACACTACTTGGACTGAAAGGCTAAAGCAGCTTATATTTCAAATGGGACGACAGTATAAAGCATGCATCAGGAGACGTTAGGCTGCACTCACTGTATTCCAGAGGAGATGAGGGACACACTGACAACCACCAGGTCCAGAATATTGAAATAGTTTCTACAGAATGAACCTTTATGGAGGACGGCCCCATAGGCTGTCATCTGTAGGGGTCAAAGTTCATATTTTAAAGAAGGATACAAGCACAGTTGAGTAAAAGTACATTTGGAATAAAAGTAGATATAATACATTGTAAATATACTGTTAAAAGTTAAAGTCCTGCTTTCAAAATCTTACTTAAGTAAAAGTACTAAAGTATCGGCATCAAGTTGCACTTATTAGTAAAAGTACCCCTTAGTACCCGTAATGGCCCAATTCAGAATCCTGTATATATATTGAGTTACCGGGTAACTATCATGATCTGAATTATCTGTTTTTATCACAGCTTGTGAATGTAGAGCTTATTGAAATACTCGATATACTGCTGCTGGGTGTCTTAACCTGTAAATATATGTCAAAGTGTATATAAGGAGGAAAATACTCAGGTAAAGTAGAAGTACCTCAGAATTCTACTTAAGTACAGTTCTTGAGTAAATGTACTTTGTTACTATCCATCACTGGTGTACAAATAAAATAAACATTTGAATAAGTGCTTTTGACCTTTATCTCTGAACAGGCATTACATAATACATGCATGGTGTTTACTGCAGAGGAAACATACTTCTATTATTTTATTATAAGTCTACTTTATAAAAGATTGGGATCACATTCAATTAAAGCAAATCAATCACATGTACAACTTGCAGATGATACGTCCCAAATATGATGCATCATAAACTTTCTATACTACCTTAAGAATGATCTCAATGGTGAAGAGTCCAGTGAAAACATGATCTGCATATCCTAGGATCTGCAAAAGAGAAACACGATAACAGCTTTTTGTTTAGAGGTACCATAGCATGAAACATAGACAGAAACGTGATAACGTGCAGCTCTTCAGAGTTACAGCTGAACTAATGGTTAACTGTAGCATCGTCCTGGATGACTTCACCACATCCTGAATCAATAACGATGAGGTTCAGGTCTAAGGTAATGAGGTTTGATTAGACTCAAATTCTACGAGTGAATAGAGCGTAAACTGAAAAACAGGAAGTATAATTCCATTAAAGTTTCATGCTAAGGTTAATTGAGGTAGATTTGTATACAGAAACTATATAATAGCCAAATAAAATACAATACAACAGATCTTTAGGGCATCTTGCTCACTGAGAGAATAAACAATACACACAAACAGGATCAGTGCTCATTCTTCACATTGGTCTACAGCTCACAAATGACACCAATTAACCCTTAATAACATTTATATATAAGATTATGATGTTGCGCTTTAAGTGTACACAGCTGCAATGGTCTTAAAGATTAACAGGCGTTTCACATCTTCCTAACATGAAGCTAATCACAGTACAGTACTCTGGAAGAAATGTCATTAAGTGTACCAGCCAGTCACAATAAGCTCTGCTTCCTCTATATGTTGCTGTCGGCTATAACCCATTTAGTACAGAATTCATTTTGATGGGCAACTAATGATGACTATAGTGTTCGCCTTGTGTTTATTCTATACCCTTACATTCATGTTCTTTTATGGTGTGTGTTACCTGGTTTCTGAAGGAGTCATTCTTGACCGGGTCCTCTGCGGCCAGACTGATGCTGCTCAGCAGGATGAAGAAGAGGATGAGGTTGGTGAAGATGTTGTGATTGACTATCTTATGGCACAGAACCCTGAATCTGAAAAACAAAGTGAATTCAAACACATTTCATTCTCATGCTACAAAATGTATAGAACATTTGATATGATCAGAACATGACAGAGATGGGAATAGACACCGGGAGAAACTGTGGGGGGGAGAAAGGCAGGTCGGCTGACTGCAGAACCACAGCCTGCTCCTACTTGTTATCGTGACCAAAGACGAAGAAAGCGCGGGCCTCCGGCATTGGAATGGCCTTCTCCTTCAACTGAACGTCGGAGAGTGGTCTCGGCCTCGGACCCACCGGCATCTCAGGCTCCTCCTCCTCATCGTCTCCTGGAGAGGAAGGAAAAGGATAACAGTGAGAATAAATAAAATGCTGACGGGGGTAATGTTGCCTTAGCAGAGGTAGCAATGGATCCAAAGGAACAATTGGACTGAATCAAAATTCAATAAAGTACTTTAAAAAGTGTTGTTAAGCAGCTACTTGTATTCACAGGTTCTTGGTACCACGTTTCTATTCATATACTGTATACCTAAGAAAATGGACAACAATGGGACCCAAGACAGAATCTTTGATATATATATGAAGCAGTGTGAAATTAAAATATGTAATTATTAATATGAGATGAAAACTACTTTTTTAAGATGTTTGAGATGAGAATATTTATTTATTGGAGATGTCACATAGACCTGTAGAGTTTTTGGCAAGTTTTCATGACAACCATGTGTTACCTATGTAGTCGTTGGCAGGATATGGGTTCTTCTCCTCACTCTCATCTCCACAGTAGTCACCTATGCTAATCTGCAGGGGGAGAGCATTGCATTCAGTAACAAGTTCATTCATTTCTCTAACAACACTTTTAGATAATTGAAGACTGCAGATACTCTAGTCTGTATGGGTGTTTCTGTACCTTTGTGGCAGTGTTGGCCTCTCCATCGGAAGTGATGGACTTCAGCTCTATCTCCTTCTTCTTCTTCTTCTTCTCCTTCTTCTTCTCCTCCAGGGGCAGCTTCTCGGCTAGACGCTTCTCTGGGATGGCCAACCTTGAAAGACAGAATATTAACAGCTTTCCCCTTTCCTAACCTTAGCAATGTTAGCCCCATTTTAATCCACTAATGTGTAATGAATCACATCTAGATTAAGACCAGGAGAACAAAAAAAAAAACACTTAGATTTTTGTAATGAGGGGGAGTATTTCAATCCCAGGGGGTGGCTGTGCTGATATCAAACCAAACAGATAGTGAGCAGGCAAATGTTTTTCCTAAGATCAATAGAGGTTGCAACCAAAAAGAAGACATGTAATGATTTGTCGAAACTATTTTCCTCAGCTGCACTAAAATCTAACATTACCACTGCAGACAAATTGCCTTTGTCAGCAGTGAGACGCTTAAATTACCCAATAAAAAAATGGTTTTGACACAAAAGCAAAGCAGATAAAATGTCAGCCTGACTTAAAACCATAATGACATGTTCATGCTCTGATTGTAAATCATTTTTAGTACTTTAATTTCAAGGCTCGAGTATCACCGCCCTTGAATCCTATCCTACCTTTCCAGGTGTCACATGCAAGAAGAACTTTGTTTCTTTTCCCCAGATAACTGTCCACCTGTCTTTCTTACCTGGCCAGTTTTTTCCTCTCCTTCTCCTCTTCCTCTTCTTTCTGGGCAGATGTCAGACTCTCAGCGTCTGCTAGATTGTCAACAGCGATGGCCAAGAAGACATTCAGTAGGATGTCTGTTCAGAAGGGTGAAGCTAAGGATGTTGCTGAACTAACAGATCATCGGTGTGGATGATAGCAAGCAATCCTGGCCGGCTGAGTAAATAAAGAGTAACCTTTCTGCATCTGAAAGACACTGAAGTCCCAGCTGCCTGAGCAGAGCTTCTTTGACCTCCAGCAAACAGTTCTGGCTTCATGACTGTATCCCACTGCAAAACACACCCTTCATCCTGCATCCTAAAGAGGGTTTGGATTTCATTCAAATCCCATCAGTCACATTGTTATCTGTTTGATGGGATGCACTTTAACAGAATCAGAAACACAATTTGGCTGTCAATCTTTGCTCCAGACCTTTGATTGTTCACCAATTGCCTTCAGATCCACATGATACATGCTGCTATGTAATGTACGTATTTTAACTCAGGATACAGTTTCCGCAGATGAAGAGGATGATGAAGTAGATGCAGACCAGCATGCCGGGGAAGGACGGTCCACCGTATGCCATGATACCATCATACATCACAGAGTTCCAGTCCTCTCCTGTTAGGATCTGTGGATTCAGAAAGAAAAGAAATAAAGGTCTGAAGAAGAAAAGCATTAAAAGTCTCACCCCTTTCACAGTTATTTATCTAATTCAATTGTAATACAAACTAGATTAGAGTATCTAACTTACATATCCCTAAACCCTGCACCTTATATGTATATGGTCTAAATCTGTACCTTATCAAAAGATGTTTGTTGATATTTATACATAACTAAGTAAATCGATCTGAATTGTGTATTTGTTGAAACCTAATGCATCTGATTACTCTTTGCACTTTCTGGTTGTATGCAAACTGCATTTCGTTGTACTCTGTGCACAATGACTATAAAGTTGAATCTAAATCAAAATCTAAAATGAAATGACTTTCTGCACTGTAGAAATGTAGGAGTCAAAGTTCATCATTTCAAGTCAGGACAAGATGAGAACAAAAGCAAACACGGGAGGGAAACAAGAAGCAAATAGAGACATCTGCCTCACCTGAAACACGGTGAGCAGAGACTGGGGGAAGTTGTCAAAGGTGCTGCGTCGGGTCTCGTCAAAGTTGAATTTCCCCCCGAAGAGCTGCATGCCCAGCAGGGAAAAGATGATGATGAAGAGGAAGAGCAGAAGCAGCAGGGAAGCGATGGAGCGCACAGAGTTCAGCAGGGACGCCACCAGGTTGGACAGAGAGTTCCAGTATCTGGGGGGGGGGGCACAGACGTCAGGTTTAGTACAAGTCAAAATAATTGAGGCCTTCATCAGGGCAAGTACAACATGGTTCACTTTGGTTTGTTTTTTTATCCGTGTTGGCAAGTACTCACATGACCTGTATAGACCAGTAAGTCACATGTTTTAAGTGGACAGGAAAAGTGACATTGAAGACCAAGACCACCAGAGGGAACGACAACAAATGTCAATACTAACCTGGTTATTTTGAAGATTCGCAGCAAGCGTACGCAACGTAGCACAGAGATGCCCAGAGGAGACATAACCTTGGTTTCCACCAGAATGGTTTCAAGAATGCCGCCACAAACTACAAAGCTGTCGAAGCGATTGAAGAGCGAAACAAAGTACGCCTGTGGAGATTTAAGACAGAAGTAAAACTTTAAGCGGAAAGTAGTGGAGGGAGGAGTTTCTCTTGAAAGTCTTTGAATGTATAAGAAATATTTTCACATAGAATTTATTTTTTAGATAAATAATGCTGTGAGCCACCGACCTGCAGACCCAAACTGTACATCTTTAACAGCATCTCGCCAGTGAAGAGTGCTAGCAACACCTTGTTGGCAATATCTACAGAGGAGGCAAGTAAGGAGATGGAAAAAAAGGAGGAAGGGGTTAGAACAAGGAAATAGGGACCGAATAGAAAGGGACAGCAAAGGAAGATTAGTGGAAAAGGAGAGACGAGGCAAAAATAATGTAGCTACAAACACAACAAATAGGGTGTGTGTGCTTATGTACCTTGTACATCAGTTAACCACTGAGGCTGCTGGTGATGTTCAGAGGCGATGGTAAGAGTGTTGAGGAAAACCAGGAAGATGACCAGCCAATAGAAAACCTGCGATTTGACCGCTGCCCGGCACTTCCTCCTACACAGCCTGTTCCACCTCCGAGAGTATCGACTGAGGAGGAAGAAGCGCAGATTGAGAGAAAGAGAGAGATGGAGAGGTGAGAAAATATGGGAGAGAGGAGACGTAGTGATGAGGAGGGAAGTGGGAAAACAGCAGAGAGGCAGGAATGAACAATGGAGGAAATAAAGAGGAAGATCACAGGCCCATGAGAGAAGAAATAAGGAAAAAAAAAAATGTTAAAAATTAACAAGTGAAGAAGAGAGTGGAAAAAAACAGCAGAGGAGAGAGAAAAGAAAGAAAGAGTCAGTTAGTCTGTCTGCAGCGTAGTGATGACATCACTCCTTGGTCGGTGGTTGTCTGTTTGAGAGCAGGAAATGTTAGTCATCCTCAAAGACGATTCACACCAGAAGGAGATATGCACCATTAGAGGGGAAAAGAACAAATGCTTATCCTGAGGAAATGATTGGAGGCTCAAATGTAAACGGAAATGTGTTATATAATATTGTGATTCAACTATAAGGAAAGATCATGGTAACAACAAGAAGTAGATCATTTTAGTTTTAAAACTCTATTATGTCTTCTATTTAGACATCTGAACATGAGGATTTTAAGCTAATTTGCTCTTTTTCTGCCCTCTAATAAATACACTTTATTGATTTGAATAATCAGCTTTTATCCATAGCCATGTAATGGATCCATACCACAACTGCCCAAATCAATTATCTGTATTTTCCTTGTTTGAGAGTATATGAGTATATTTATGATTTGTACTTGACCCCTTTCTCTATTGGCCCCCTGCAGCACCAGAGATTTGTCAGCATATGAACAACTAACCAGGAAGTGGAATTATTCCCTGCTTATACAAAATTCATGTTTCTTCTGTTTGAGTGTGTGTGAGCTATTTAGAGTCACTTATGGCACACAGCGGCTTTGGCCATGATGCACACACTGAATGTTACATGAGACACGACTCACAGCAACAGAACAAGCGGACATGCATTGTTACAGAAAGACACATGTCCCTTTAATGTCTGTGATGTTATTTTTGAAACATCTTTTGAGGCTCTTCAAAAGAACCTTAGTTACAAAACTTTGTCAATATTGACATGTTTCTGTCTCTAAAGAGGACAAAACACCTCTTGGTATTTTAATATGGGTTGGAAAATGTCTGTTTTAGGAATTTGGGGATAATATAAGTACCACAGCAGAAGAGACATTAGAGAAGGTGGATTAAGGGACTATGGTAAACAACATGTACTAACCTGAACTTGGATTTGGAGATCCTATTTCTGGAACACAGAAAACAGAATGGAATTATACACACACATAACACACATATAGACAGGTACACAACATGGAAGGGGTGTTTGGAGAGGGATATTTGATCTTGAATTGACATTTGTAAAAATCAATTTTTTCGAATCAAATCACCCCAAGCAAACACATACAGTATACAGTGGCATCCAGTCAAGTGAACAATAAAAGCTTTAAGTTTGGATTTCCTCCAATCTCTCCTGGTGTGAAAAAACATAATTTATAAATAGACAAATGTCTGTTGATTGTTCACCACTGTAACAACAAAACATACAGAGTACGGAAGACAAGAGATTATGGAAGATCTTATCTGGACGGAAAAGAAAAGAGGAGTGGAGAGGAGAGGGGAGGAGAGGAGAGGAGAGGGGAGGGGAGGAGAGGAGAGGAAAGGAGACAGAGGAGAGGAGAAGAGAGGAGCGTAGAGGAGAGGAGAGGAGAGGAGAGGGGAGGAAAGGAGAGGAGAGTAGAGTAGAGGAGAGGAGAAGAGAGGAGAGGAGAGGAAAGAGGGAGGAGAGGAGAGGAGAAGAGAGGAGTGGAGAGGAGTGGAGAGGAGAGGGGAGGAAGGAGAGGAGAGGAGAAGGAGAGAGGAGAGAGAGGAGGGGGAGGAGAGAGGAGAGAAGAGAGGAGAGGAGAAGAGAAGAGAGGAGAGGAGAAGAGAGGAAAAAAGAAGAGAAGAGAAGAGAGGAGAGGAGAAGAAAGGAGAGGAGAAGAGAGGAGAGGAGGGAGGAAGGGGAGGAGGGAGAGGAGGAGACAAGAGAAAGAGGAAATCCCGCTGTAGAAATTCAGATTGACATATCAAATGATATCTGTTCATATACCCTGATCTGACCATGTGGGATTAATATATAATATGATAAACTGATGTTCCTCTTTCAGGCAAGGGTTGTTTAAGGATAACAAAACCTTATGCACAAAAAAGCACTTATGTTTGGTGAATACGGAGATCCGATTTGTACTGGTTTGTGTATTTATGGCTCCTTTTGTTACATTGAAATAGTATTGTAGTGCTTGTATTCAGATAAATAAGTAAATAAAAAGAGCGTCACACACTGTAATGACCTTTCAGTGAGATGAGTGTCCTGACTCGGTCCATAGCAGCAGATGAATTGACGGACCAAAGCAATGAAGTGACTCACTGCCTGACTGAACGGAGGATAAAATGACTGACTGGCTGGGATGGAGGCTGACATTACACGCGTCTCTCCCCTCCGGTGCCCGTCTCCATTATGGAGATCAGCAGGCGTCCAAGTAGCTCCAACCCAGAGGACTATGTCTACGGCAATGTGAAGAGACACTGCTGCTAGTCCAACCTGTTGCAGTCTCACCGAGAAAAGATGAAGACTCGTATTTCCAGTCCTGGCAAGGTTTCCTACTCGTTTGGTTTGGGACAGTCTGGCTGAGAGTCACTTATTTCACAAACACTTCAGGAGTCATTATTTTAAAGCTCCTCGTGGACAAGAGAAAGGAGATGGATGCTAGAATTGAATACGCTTTTATTTTAAAAACCAAATGAGGAATGATTGTGCTTTAGATTTGATGCACGACAGCTTTTATAGTGCACAAATACGAAAAAGCATTTTGTGCTTTATCTTTTTCTAAATATGAATCTTTAATGCACGCAAGATGTAGTGCTATCTCGAGCTGCAGCAATAAGTCAATAGAAAGAAAAGGAACTATAAGGAAATAATGGAACAATTATGATGGCTTCTCTCTAACATTTATTTGGCATTATGAGCCGAGGTTGTGTCAGCTCAGGAAGACACAGATATGATGCCTTCTTTGTTTTGAGTTGTTTTGGTCTGACGGGACAAACACAAACAACATAACAAAGACGAAGTAACAGATGGACAGCGAGATACAGATAAACAACAGTGTGCCATCCAAGTGTGCCTCCAGTGTTGCTGATTTAGTTTTATTTCACAACCATTCCATTTTAAATGTCTATGCTCTGACTCAGAGCAGTTTGTGTGTAGGTGTGTTTGCTTGTATGTGCTGAAGTGGTAAAGTGGGCCTGCCAGGGTCATGCTCCTGCGTGGCCTTCAGTCTAAGAAAGAAAGCAACGCACAGTGTGTGGAGGTTTAATTCCTCATAGCCTGACCTATGTCTAATGAAGGTCACAGATTATTCGGAGGTAGAGAAAGAAGAGTCATTTCTCTAACCAGCCCCATTGTTGAGCTTGATGAGGTCCGCCCTGGTGACCTCAGTGAAGGACGGAGCCAGGACAGGCCTCTCTTACCTTGTCTAACACTAAATTGCTTATTGAGGAGAGAGGCAGGATGGAGGTCAGTCTTGGGACGGACAGAAGGTGACCATGAGAGGGGGATAAGGAAGGAGAAGAGGGTGTGTATGAGAGAGGGTGAGGTACTTACGCTAGCCGGGTACAGCAGGTCTCCCCCTCCACGTCTCCCCCGGGGGCGTTGTCTGTGTTGACGGATTCATTCTCACTGGCTGGCATGCTCACTGAGAGACCGAGGAGCAGAGCACGAGGAAGAGAGGAAGTGACAGAAAGGGAAGAAAAAAGAGAAAGATGAATTAACACTCTATATTGTATGCTGGTTTTATACATTATTATATCTAAAGCTTGAGGACTCCAAACGTTCAGTCACCTTTACATATATAGTACTACACACACTTAAAAGGCTATAAAGTGCATTCGTTCCTATTTAGTGAGGAGCTGCACTATTTTAAATAGTTTAAAAAGTGATCTTTCAAAAAGTAAAATGTAGATATTTGCACTGATTGCCTAACTAATTAGAAACTAACAATATGTACTGCTAAGGGATCCTGGGAAACAACCTCTGCAACAGCTATTAGGAAGGATCTCAACTTTTAAGCTGAAGGATTGCTTAACTCTGTGTGAGCTAAATCATTAAAAAAGCCTTTTGTGATTTAATAGCTCATGGAGTCTGGTCTTTGGTCTGCAAACTTCCCGGAGGATGTCGAAGCTTAATTGCAGCCAAGGTTTTGAGGTCTTTTATACAGTCATCTATCTAAACTTCGGCAGCTTTCTTAGTTTGGAGACTTTGAATGTGTCACTTTGTCCTTATTTAAAGACAGGTTTCAAGGTGCATACACATGGAAGGATGAATATCAGGGGAGATGGAGGTGGTAAAGAAAGAACAGAAGTCATTTGAATTGGTAGTTAAGGATGGAAAAGTGTAGGGAGGGAGGGATGGAAGCATCATGGGAGGTGTAGATTGAAGGAGAGGAAAAATAGGATAAATGTGGGAATTGCTGTTTGAGGGACTGATACATTGCTTTTTATTGCTTCTGTCAGTCTTTGCTCGCCTGCGGGAATAAGCTGCACTCCCCTCACTGTCACCTCAAACACTTATTGTATCACCCTGTGGGTACAACAGTCAGATACTGATAGGAATCTCAATGCGTCTTGTATTAAAGGAAGATATCCCCCGTTAAATAAAGCCAGACCCACTCTTGCAAAACGGCTTTAAACACAAAACCAAGGGACATGATCGGTTCCTTAAGATGAGAGCGCTTTCCAAGCTCAATAAAAAAACTGAAACCTTGACTTTAACTAAATGTATTGTGTCAAAAACATCGCACATAACTGTATTAGGTTAGTTGAAAGCAATAATATTAACTTGAACCTAATATTTAGAATTAATTAATGTTATTGCTTTCAACTAACCAAATACAGTAAAGTGAAATATGTTGACATGATACATTTAATTAAAGCAACATTTCAGTTTCTTCAGTGCTGCTTGTAAGCACTTAGCTAGCATAATACATTAAAGTAAGCTCATTGAGTTAACAGCGTGCTTTGCCGAATGCCTTGTGATGGATGAATTCTGCTGTGGAGATCAGGACCGTCTCAGTGAACATTAAGGCCTCTGCTGTGAACACGCTCAATGTTTCTCACTTCGCCACGTGCCACCTGCTGCTATGCTACTTAGTTAAAAGCACTCGGGGCCCTCGGTGTCTCTCGAGGCTAAAGCCTTTCAAATATATAACCAGCCCTGTGCCTTCTCCTCAATGGAGCTCTGAACTAGTTTAATACCTATTGTTAGAGTAAACCCCAAAGACTTGAGACACGGAGAGGAGGAACGAGATGAAAAAAAAACTAAGGAAGGATCAGGCATGGGAGGGAGAATGGAGGGGATAAAGGAATTCATTAACTCTAACCAATGTTGGCATGTGTGAATGAGAAAATATATGAAATAAAAGCATTGAAAATAAGCGGCCAACAAAAAGGATTGCAAGAATACAAAAATAAAACATATTAAAAATATTGTACAAAAATATGTTGATTTATTGATTATCAGTCTGAAAGACGTTTACATTTTCGCGTGCCGTGAGTTATTACAGTGATACCTTTTTTCTGTAGCCCAACTCATGGAAAACCGCCCATCTGGCAACACTGAGCTCGAGAGCAGTCTGGACTCTGGAACGTCATAACGCTGTGATTTTCGTTTGGATTACTGGTCTGGGTGAAGCTTGCGAGTGTGTGTGAGACAGAGGAGAGGAGAAGAGAGGAGCGTAGGGGGAG